ATTTTAGTAGAGACAGAGTTTCACCATATTGGCCAGGCTGGTCTCGAACTCCTTACCTCAAGGGGTCCGCCCGCCTCAGCCTCCCAAAGTGTTGGGATTACAGGCGTGAGCCACCGCGCCCTGCCAGATTAGGTTCTGATTTTGGGCGGGGGAGATGGATCAGTCAGTGGCTGGGTAAAACAGTTTTATTGTTTCTTGTTAAAAATAAGAGTAATACATGCTTATGGCAAAAAATACGGAAAAGAAGAGCACAAATAAATAGGAAATCCGCAATCGCAGAACCCACACAAAACTACTCTTAACATTTTGATGTGACCAAACTCACACACAAATGTGTGCACACACATGGAATCATGTTATATGTTAGTATCTAGCCTGCTTTATTCAGTTTAGACATTGTTGGCAGCTTCATTTCATCATCATTTTTTTTTTTTTTGAGACAGAGTTTCATTCTTGTTGCCCAGGCTGGAGTGCAATGGCACGGTCTTGGCTCAGCACAACCTCTGCCTCCTAGGTTCAAGTGATTCTCCTGCCTCAGCCTCCCGAGTAGCTAGGATTATAGGCACCCGCCACCATACCTGGCTATTTTTTTTTGTATTTTTAGTAGAGATGGAGTTTTGCCATGTTGGCCACATTGGTCTCAAACTCCTGACCTCAGGTGATCCACCCACATTGGTCTCCTAAAGTGCTGGGATTACAGACATGAGCTACCATGCCTGGCCCATTTCATCATCATTTTAAGTGGCTACAAAGTATTCAACTGTATGGAAGTACCATGATCTATTTAGCCAATTTCCTAGGTGTTTCCACTTTTTAAAATTTTTCTTGGCCACAGTTACTTATCCTTGTGCCTGAATCTTTGGGCACATTCACCATTATTTCCTTAGGCTAAATTCCAAGCTAGGCAAGTGCTGGGTCAGTGGGTATGCATGCTTTCAGTTTTGATACATACTGCCACATTGCCTTCCAGAAAGTTGTTCTTAAACACCAATGCAGAGTTGAGTCAATAGTGCAGGAGTGTGCAGATGCCTCACCAACTTGCCAGTTCTGGATCTGATATGTTTTTTGATTTATTGCATTCATTTATCAGAAGAGCTTTCTCAAAAGCAAAATATGAAATAACAAGTCTTGCTTTACATTAAAGTAATGTCACTGCTATATATTTGCAAGGAAATTCTTAAAAGTGACTTGGATATGATTTTTTTCATTCTTGTAGATAGTACAAAAGAAAATAACTTCACAAATTTATAATTAGCATTTGCAGCTTGGGTCATTAAGTTTAGTATTAGGGGGCAGGATTTGGTGTCATCTGTGAACTAATGCCCGAGGAAAAGGTGTAACACCTTTATTTCATAGGTGACATCAACTCCAGATACGCAAGGGAAAAGCACAGGAAGGAATCCTTTTTTGTCTAATGGGTCTCTTTTCTCTTAAAACAGGAAAGATGCAAAGAATAATGAAGTGTCCTTTTCTCAAATTAAGTAAGTCTCTCAAATTATGAGCTTTATTTTAAATCCTCCAATCTGTTCAGTGACTATCTATCAATAATTTTTGATGGAACTTGCTGTCATTTTTCCTGATTGGCACATTTTGACCATGATCATCTGGAAGTTTTTGCTAACTCTGTTTTCTGCAAGGAATCTATGTTTTATTAGTCTCCTGAAGCTAGCTTCCTTGACATGTTCTACTCTTCTACCAATAAATACGTATTTTTTGATTTAAAAAAGTCATATGGTTATCAGGATCCAGGGGAGAGAAGCACTTACTTAAAGTCACAAAACCAATTATTTACAAAGTAGGGTCCAGAAATCAGATTTCCTGGTTCATATTTTAGTGTTTTGTGAATAATAGTACTCTGATCCCCTCTTGCCAAATTATACCCTGGGTTTTGTTGTTTTGGGAAGATTGTTTACTGTCATCTCTAGAGTATGAATGAGTCTTTCTAATTGCTTATTTTTTTCTTTCCCTTTCTATCATGAAGACCTAAAAAGTGAGTATTCTCTTTATTTTTTTTTTAATAACTTGTACTTTTCTATTGAACATGGACTTCATTGAATGTAAAAAATCCTGATAAGTTTTGTTTTCTTAGATCTAAGTTAATCCGAGTGGAGAATTTTGAGGCCTACTTCAAGAAGCAGCAAGCCGACTCCAACTGTGGGTTCGCAGAGGAATATGAAGTACGTTGCTGTAAATACTGTGTTTTTAATTGTGTCAGGTTCTAACCCAAGCTGGGGTCCGAGGGGAGTTGGTGGACGGGTGGCAGGTAGCTGAAGGACTTGAGGGACTGTAGGCAGTTGGGACATGGCTTTATTCTCTCTCCTACAGAGTCAGCAGTGCAGTTATATTGCTCACAGGTAATAGTGGCTCAAAGCCAGGTATGAACTCACCCAAACAGGTTACATTAAATGGCTATATAACCTCAGGGTTGTGCACCTGCGCTCCAAACCTGTTGTGTCATACTGTCCTGGATGTCTACCTTGGACTACTCCTGACTGAAGCACAGCCACTTTCCTTAGAAATTGGCTTGTTTTTCCTGAAAGTTAGAAAACTGTTAACAGAAACTAGGAATTCAAGTCAGGGAACTATTAGCCACAATACTTAGGAAACTATATGAGCTGGAAAGAAACCAAATGGGCATGGAGAGGTCTGGGGCTTGATGACAGTGTGGCCTAGGGTGGCTTGTGAGGCTCACATGAAGCCCTGCACGAGGACTTTCTTGGCCAGTGTCTGCCTTTCAGTTCCCTCTGCTGTGCTCCAACCAGCCTAGGAACTAGCCCTGCTCAGAGTGTCCATGCACACTCGTCCTCATGTGCTGCCCTGTCCAGCATCTCTGCCTTTGCTCTCTTGAAATCCTGCTCAGCACTCAGCACAGTGCACATGCTGCCTCCTCCATGGGCTTTCTGGGATCCCATTAGGAGAACTTGAGTTCTGTGTACTCACACTGCTTTGTTTCCCCTGTTGCTTGTTATCAATATTCAGCATTTCTTTAATTCTGCCTTGTTGTAATGTTAGTTTTTTCTGTGTACAGTACACCTCTCCTCCAGGTTGCAACTGCTTGAAGGCAGTTTTCCCTATATTTTAACCTTTGTATTAGTTTTCTAGGCTGCCATAAAAAAGCCCCACAAACTGGGAGGTTGAAAACAACAGAAATTTACTGTCTAGAGGCCACAATCCCAAATTAAGGTGTGGGCAGGGCCACACTCCCTCCTAAGCCTCTGGGCAGCATCCTTCATTGCCTCTGCAGCTTCTGGG